GGTGACCATCTATCACCTATCTTTTTGTAGATTTTTTGATTTGTCAGCTAGACATAGCTACTAGTAATGGCCTTCTCCCCAAGGCTTTACCTTCAAGGTGTGATCTAGGTGTTTCTCATTTACTTTATGTTGATGATGCTCTTACTTTTTGGGACGGTTTTGTTTGGTCGGCTAATGCATTAAAAATATTATGGAATCTTTTTGTAGGGTCACATGTCAACATCTAAATGAGACCAAGAGCAAAATATTATCCATTAAAGTGGCAAAGGCATGAAATCTAGGATTATAGATATTCTGAAATTTGGCGAAGGATCCCTAACAACTAAGTACTTCAGGCTTCCTTTATTTCAGGGTTGTCTTAAACACTCTCATTGCCACAGCCTTATTGGTAAAATAATTGGGAAAATTGGATCCTAGCAAGCCTTATCCCTATCCTTTGCTGGTTGTTTGCAGCTCCTCAGGTTAGTGCTTAGTGCTTCTACTATTTATTGGATCTTGTCTTTCTTATTGCTTAGTGACTTCAAAATCCTTGTTGAGACAGTACATGGTTGATATAAACTTCCATGGAGATTTCATACTCTTGCTGCAAATTGCCTCTATAATTTAGCTTCATCAGCTCCCGATGGACTATTTCGCATGTGTACCAGGAGGCTAACTCGGTTGCGGACTCCCACACTGAAAGGGATGTTTCCTTAACAGATGCCACAGTTTAGAGAGCCCGTCCACCAGATTTTGTAATTAATTTGCTTTCTTACGATGCTGCTCAGTGCCCTATGAGAGGGTTGTATTATGATTTGCATGTAGCTTTCTATTTTTTTTAATGAAAACGGGTAGGAGGCCCTAACCCCAACCGACTTACCCAAAAAGAAAAAAAAATAAAAAAAGAATGGTGGATCAGGACTGAAAAGAAGGAAAGGCCCAAATTTCAATTTTCTGATTCGGTGGCTAGGGTTCTGATCCTAAAAGTTTTTGTAAGGATCTGGTACAGCAATGATAGAAGGTCAAAATGTAACAATTTGAGAAAAATCAATAAAAAACAAGAGAATGCTAGAAAGATGCAGGACAGCGTTCATTAAGGGGGAAAAGCCCCAAGTTTTGATCTTGTGATTTCGATAAACTGGTCCATGAAATTTTGTTTTGGGCTATTGTAGATCAGTCTCAAACTATGAAAGTGAGACAAATTTGATCAAAAACAAACTAATAGCCATTTTTAGTGAAAATTTGAGACAAATTTGATAGAAATTAGACTAAGAACGAGAAATTGAAGAAAAAAGATTTGAGGCTGAAAATAACGACTTTGAAAAAAATACACAAGAATCGTTGATCCAACTTCAGAATTGTCTGTTATCTATTGAACCTAATCTAGATCACGCTATTCCAATTCGGATTGCTATTTTTTAAATACTGGAGCAAATATTTGAGCCTTCCACTATGCATCATGAAGTTGTGCAAAGCCCTTTGGGACCCCATAGTTGAGTGATTTGAACGAATGCAGGCCACTTGGAAGTTAGCTACTACCTCTCACTGGGTAGTAGTATTACCCTCATCAGGACCAGCCTTGCTAATATCCTGGCCTTCCAAACGGCAGTCATTAGGATGTTAATTTCTATTGTTAATTGGCTCTAGAAACTAATGAGAAGCCTCTCGTGGCCATGGTCAGGAGGTTCCCACAAGTTCCACTTGATCAAGTGGACACTGTGTGCTTGCCAAAGAAGAATGGTAACCTGGACATTCAGAACCTTGAAGAGTTCATAGAACTGCTCAGTTTGTAGCACTGCTCCCTTAGGTAAATCATGGAGGTTTTCCAACAAACATGGACACCTATAACAGCAAGTCATCCTTAACAAATATGGAAGGGGTATCTCAGGTGGCTTTTAGAGGAATATCCAACACCAATGCTTCAGAGGCTTAGAAGGCCACTGTTTTAGCATATCAAGAATTCATTGGGAATGTTCAATTTGGGCTTAAGACGAGAGACACAATAAGACTCTAGAAGGATGTATGGGCCAGGGAATCAAATTCAACTCTAGGATCTAGAGATAAGGGACCTAATAAGCTTGTTGGATATCCTTCCATCCCAGTATAGTCTGCGGTCTAGCAGTGACCACATGGTTTGGACCCCAACAGCCTCATGATTTTCTTGAAGGGCTCTTTCTATCCAGCCCTATGTGGATGTCATTGCTAGCAAGGCGTGGTTCAGCCCTGCCCCCTGAAGATTCAGACCTTCAACTGGCTGGTCCTCTCTCAGAAGGTGCTAACAAGGAACCAGCAACAGAGAGAGAGAGTGGGTTGGTTGTTGAACCCACTGATCAGTGTGTTAGATGCTTCAAGGCAGAAGAGACAATTGACTGACTACGTGCTCATACACCGCCAAGTTGCTTCCAGGCAGTGGACAACCATACAGAAATTTGACTGAAGCTGGGTATGGCCGCATACAATAGAACTACTGTTTGCGCTTACGTTTTGCCCCCATACCCATCCTCGGGTCTGTTCCTGTGGAGATCCACTCTACTGTCCACCCTGTGGCCATCTGGCTTGAGCAGAATTCTCAGATCTTTGAAAGCAAAGCAATGATCTTGGAAAGATCGAAGCTTCGTACATTCTCTAAGAGTTACTTCTTGAAAAATTGGAAAGCCATTAGCCACATCGATCATGGGATCCAATATCTAGGTCCTGCTGCCTAATGGAACCATCAAATAGAACTTTGACAGCTGTTCCTTGGATAACCCCTGGCCCAGCTTGGGTCAGGAGACTGTTTAGAGACTGCTCGCATGATCTAGTACTGTCCTTTTCACGTTCAATTGGCATGCCCAATTCCATGTTGGCCAAAGCACGCCCCCTATTGGAGGGTCTCAAAATCCCCAGCCTCATTGTCAAAGGCGATTGCATGAGCCTCAAAGGTGGCTCCATGCCTGTGGAGTGTAGAACTTATTTGTGACCAAGTGTTTGAAATCATCAGGCCCCTCCTAATTGGATTCAACCGCTCTTGTAGAGAGGCCAACACTGAAGCAGATAACCTAGCAAAAGAAAGCTCCTTGGTGCAAAACTTTGTAATGCTTTCTTCAAACTACTGATAGCACAAGATCCATCGGACACACAAACCCACCTGCCAACCCCCGGCCCAGAAAAATAAAAATAAAAAGAAAAGAAAAAAGGAAACAAACGACCACCCCCATTTTTTCTCCTCTTTCCACTCTCCTCTCCCATTTTTCCTCTTCCCCAATTTCTCCCTGTTCTTCACTCTTCCTCCTCTTAGCCATTTTCTCTGTTTTCCCCCTCCCGGCTATGTTTGGGATGCAAGTGTATAATCTCTTTGCAGCAGTCTCATTTTTGTATGGTACTGGTAGCCAAAAAATATATATGTTTCATAGATCCTATAAAATAAGTCCATTTTTCATCCAAAAATAAGGGGAGGGGGGGGAAAAAAACACTATGGTCATACGGTCACAAAAAGCAAATTTATTTCATGGGACCATACTTTTTCAATACAGATGAATATTCTGGACATCAAGAAGAAAAAAAGAAAAAGCTAAAAATAACAAGGTACTAACAAAAAAGTTATGCTTCTAAATGACTGAAGAATGGGACACATTGAGCAGAACTGTAAAGCACTAACAGGCTCACATGAATGTCTTTTGTTTGTTGGGGGAGACAGACTAATGAAGAAATCTAATGATTGAGATTGAAATATTGGATATTCATTCCAGCGAATCACAATCTCATTACGATCATTTTCTCTAATTGCAGAGGTCTAGGAATGGAAGCACTTATCGGCTGCTTTGAAGACCATCTTTGCATAAGATCAGGGCTTTGAAGTCAGTTGAAATTGGCAAGAAAGCCCTCTCAGAGAAAAGAGGGGACAGTTACATGGACAGCCATGTCTATGCTGCCCATAGAAGAGGTTTGTCTATGACGGTAAGCGAAAATGAAAGCCAATAAATTCATAAGTGAATTTCATGAAAAGAATTTCTCTTTCTTTTGTACATGTCAACCCAAGTAAAAACCTTTTACATTTACATCACAGAGAATCATAACAGTGTAGCTTAGTCTACTTCCCTTCAATCTTATCCTATTGTGACTAAGCCAGAGGTGACTCATCTCCAGCATCTCCTAGTTCCACTTCTCATAGTTAGCTACAAGAAAATAATGGGCTTCTTCTCATAGTTGGCTAATGTTTGGGTAAGAGCCCTCATGCCATGACTACAAGTTTTGCATATCGGTTATAAAAAATGTCAAGCACCCTTCCTAAAAGTCATATCAATATCAAAGGAACAAATACCAACCAAAAGTAGAACCCATTGTTATAATAATAATGTTTCTTGACTTCATAGAATTAAATTTTTTATAACTATATGCATGCACAAATGTTTCAGATTCATGGTATGGACTACCTTAATCATAAATTGTAAGAGAACTTATGAAAACCCAATAAGGAATCCATAACAATGAATCATGGGTATTATTTCTAAAAATGCTTAGTAGAAATGCACCAATTCATTTCAGTATGCAAACCAGTACCAGTACAAGTAACCATACCCAAACCTGGCAAATATTTGTCCTCTGTAAAAGTTAACAATGAATTCGGGTTCTATGGGAAATTTATGGATACATTAATTTAAAAAAAAAAATTGGTATGCTCAAATTTGAACAAATGATTTAGAAGATATGTCCAGAAGAACTGGAACTCCAGAAGCAAAGGAACTATTTCATAATTGTACCAAAATATGGGGAAATTCACACAGACAATCTGCAGAACTAGGAATCTTTGCTAAAGATAGTAATTATAGGCCTTAGGGAACTTTAGTGAAGCTGATCAAACAGGATAAATTAGCTTTACTATAATAAGCAAATCACGAAACCAGTAAACCAAAGTAAAAAGGAAAGCTCGTAACTTCATGGAATTATCTATATATGGAAAAAGAAGCATGATAATAATTTAAGCATGTACACCTCTTTCACAAAAGAGGCCTATCTAGAATATCTCAAAGGAAAGAACATACCTTTTCCTTGTGTTGATCGTCATGATAATACTTCGAGTGACGATCAGATGGAGAAGAAATTATTTCCGTGCCTTGCCTCCCACTTATTTTGTCACGTTTGTATTCTGTGTGCACCCATTCGGCATCAGAACTAGGAGAGCTACTACGTGATGTTTTTCTTCTCTTCTTCCGGTTCTTTGAATGCTTTCTTCTCTTGCCATGGCCTTTTTTTTCCCTCTTTGTTTCGGAACTTGATTGATCTCTTTGGTCTTCACAATCTGAGGAGTCAGTGTCAGATGTACAACTTCTTTGCCCATGGCGTTTATGACCTCGACTCTTATTATCTCTTGTTTTCCTTTTCTCTTTTTCACTTTTGAAAATGAAGTGCTCGAAAAACTTACAAGAGGATTTGTCACAGTCCAAAGACTTATTCAGATTCATATCTCTGGAGTTTCCACTCTCAATGGCATGACTCTTACTTGACTGAGAAATCGTGGGAGGTTGTAGTTCACATATATCACCGGAAGATGTGACTGTTCTGATTCCTGCAACATTTTCCTGCTGTTTCACAATTTCCATAGTGGCTGATGGTGTAATTTTACTGCCAGGTCTCATAGATCCATCATGCTCTGATAAACTCCGAACATCAGCCAGACCTTTGTGTTCTTTTCCAGAAGCCACTACATTGTTGTTTGGCATGGAGTCAAATGAACCACGGGGAACTTCCAAGCCAAGCTCTTTGCCCAAGGACTCCAGAAAATCTCCTGCAATTAACCGATTCAGAGTGGTATTAACTACTTCTGTCTTCTTACTATCAATTTGACTGACACTGGAGTCATTGTTTTCATCATCTGAATCATCAGAGAATATAGCCTGCATCAAAAAGCGGAACCCAATTTGAGCAGTTAACATGATAGTACTCAAGCTTAAGCTACATACATGATGACAAACACCAATTGCAGCAATTGAAGGCAATCCTCTGGAAGAGTACCTTATACAGATCAACAGGCTTTTGTACAGTTGAAACATTGGGTTCAGGAGCTGTCTCCTGGGCTGGCTCATTAGTTTCAGAGAATTCTGGCAGAATTTCAGAAGGTGGATTTTTACTAGCAGCAGGTGCTGTATCTTTTATGTCATGGACAGGATGAGATATTAAGATGAATGAGTCCATTTTGCTTCTTATTCTGGGCAAGGGAGGTGGCTGCATACACAAGAAAAATGATAAAGGAAATGCATGGTAAAGAAGTCTTATACATAAATTGATGTGACAAGCAAGAACATCAATAGGCAAGAAAAATGATAAAAGGAAACATTCTCATTCATCATCTATCTATGCACATATACATATGCCATGGAAGGAATAAAGACCAATAGCCATAACAAATTTCAATACAAATCATACTTATGGAAAACAGTAAAAGAGGGGTATAAGAAAGGCAAATTATTAATGATTTATCTTACCAAATTTCTTATAGCAATCAATTTGTTCTTCTTCAAGGAAGAAAAATCCTATTCATGAGCTATTAATTGCTTATGTTCTTGTCCTTTCTGTCATCTACTAATGGCAGATGGAATGAGGAAAGGTCACCTCTAATATCCATCAACAGGAGACACAACAGGTCTAATGGAGAAAACAATTAAAACTCCTCTTTCAATTCAATAAATAGAAACCAATCAATCATTCAAGCTAAAGTTATTTTGTTCTTAACTAAGAGGCACTGTTCACTGACTCTTAAAATAAATAAACTCATACATTGTAAATTGGAAAAATTACAAAAAAACCCCAAGACTACACTTTCTATACAACTTACCCACAACCTAACTTTTTCTTTCACTTTTTTTCCAAAATACACATTCTATGCAAATACCTTCCCAACCAAAAATAAAATAAAAAATGCCTAAACTACCCTCCTTTACTTTTACCTTACCCACGCCTCTCTCTCTTCTATCTCACCAAAATAGGGGCTCCGGCACTGTGTAAGTGCGGTCCGGTACTAGGACTCTGGCACTGTGTAAAGTGCGGTCCGACAGTACTTAGTTTCCGTCCGGTAGTTGTCTTAGGGCGGTCCGGCACTTGTGCGCTCAGGCAATGTGATGGTGCGCTCCGGCAATGTGCTACTGGGGTCCAAAAGTCAACGTCAAATCTGGCCAAAATAATTTTTGTGTATGAGAAGGGCATTTCCGTCTAAAAAAATGAACTTTTTCCCTTAGGGGGGGGGGGGAGGGGGTATTTGCACAGAAAATTTGTTTTGGGCAAAAAAGTTAGAAAAGTTAGGTTGGGGGTAAGTTGTATAGAAAGTGTGGTCTCGGGGGCTTTTTGTAATTTTCCCTTGTAAATTCAATTTGTTTGAAACCAATAGTTAAACACGTTTCTCAAGTGCTTCACAAAGGAATATACTTCCCAAACCTGGCTATACATTGTATGTATGGTATTGACTCTAACTTGATACGCATAATAGTTTTAAACAAATATTATCATTGGTGAATTAAAAAAATGGCTGGTTCAGTCCCCATATTTTGATGATTGGGAACTAGAATACACAAATAAATAAATAAAACCAAATGTGAATTACCGGCGAATAACACCCACAGACTCTCCTATCCAAAAGAACTAAAAACCCACAGACTCTTTTTTTATAGGACATATCATACCTTCCTAAAAAACTCATAAATAAAGAAAGAAAATGAACCAAAAGAAAGACCTATCTTTCCCAAAGAAAATGGACTCTTCTTATCATAAAACTTGCTAAAAAAATTAAACAGACTCAATTCAAGTAGACAGACTCTATCTATTAAATTAAAAACTTAGACAAAATTTATTTCGAAGAATGCGGTAAGATGAATAAATAATAAAAGTCTACCCACATCTCTAAAAAATTAAATTAAATTTTGAATCAACCCATCTTTTATCTACATCACTCTCCCTTGGTTGGAGAGAACTCGTCCTCGAGTTTTAAAATGCGGTAAGATGAAACTTGTATCAATCCCACCACCTTCTTCAACCTGAATATTGAAAACACGATTCTGCGACCTGTGGGTTATTGCACTGATCAAAACACAGTGATTGTGAACTGAAACTGATAAGCCCTCGAGGAAAGGGTCATTGTATTTTGATTTTCAGTCACATAAACTTGCTGAAATTGCTCAAACTTCACCTTAGAGCACATAAGGTATGCTTCTATTTCTTTGTCATGCATCTCCAAAGGCTCGATCTCCTCTAGGTTCAAGTCAACACCTTGAGTCTCCACCTTTCCTTTGATAAGAAAATTAGATATCCTTGTTGCTAGGATAACTTCTCTCCTTTGATCTTGCTCTTCATCAAATATAGGATCTTCATCAAAGATGCACTTTCATCTTTCTTTTCATCAAATATAGGACCTTCATCAAAGATGAGATCATCTTGGAATCATAATTCCAATTGAATATCGAAACCTATTGGGTTTTTTTTTTATAACTGTTAACATTTGTATTGATAAAGATGGATCGATACACGAGAAGAAAAGGCAATCCAGGAGTGCCTAAAACCTAGGACTCCTGATGAAAACGTGTCAATAGACTGTAATCAAAATGGGGTTATAAGAATTCCCCTTACAAAGTAAAGTGTAAGTGTACAAAAACGATACAAAGGGGGCAAGGAAGAGAAGCAAAAAAAACGCACAGTCCCTTTGAGCTAAGCATAAAGCCCATAACAAAACTAATCTTCCGCAGGCCCTGGCTCCGTCCTTAGCTAGTAAATCGGTGAACCCGTTCGACGTCCTTGAGATAAGCATCCATAAGATTTGTGTATCCCTGCAGAGGTATTCGATTTCATCAAAAATGGGTAAGAGGTACCAAGGGGGAGGAGTTGTCTTCGAAGCCCAAGAAATAATGTTCTTGGCATCACCCTCCACAAAGAGAGATTGTCCTCAAGACCAATCGAAGCTTTGAATGCCTCTAAGGAGAGTCATAGATTCTGCGAACTGCGAATCATGGACCCCAATGTATTCAAAGAACGAGAAGAGGGCGTTTTGAAGATGATCTCTAAAGACCCCTCCTACCCCCGCATGACCAAGGTTCTCTAAAGAGCAGCCGTCAAAAATGAGTTCGATAGTTCCTTGGGGAGGAGCCGTCTAAACAGGATTAACTTTGGTTTTCTTTGGGTTATGGAATAAAATCTGCTCCCAATTCTGGCTGAAGGAGTCCCTAAGAATGCCTTTGAACCAGGGGTTGTTAGCCACCCAGAATGTTACCAAGAACGTAACTTTCAAGAATAACAGAGGAGCAGAGATGGACTCTCCCCGAAAGATACAGTCGTTTCTTTCATTCCAAATTGTTGCTACCACAGTAGCTTTCCAAAGGATTCTACCTGCTTTCGTCCAGTGCGCAGCCAAATTTAACGCGAAAAGATCTTTTACCGTCGGGGGTAAGACCCAAAGCACCCGAAACTGTTGAAGGAGTAGGCTCCAAAGCTCATGGGCCACTTTACAATGTAGGAAGAAGTGGTTATTGGATTCCTCTTGGTTCAAACACATGGCACACCTATTGGGAATAGGGATACCTTTCCTTTGAAGTTGATCCACTATGAGTGCCCTGTTTGATCCTGCAATCCAGTTAAAGGTTTGCACCTTTGGGGTAGCAATGGTCTTCCAGACTAGTGCGAGTGTCGAAGTAGGATTGAGGGGGAAAGTGGGGGGTTGCATGAGGCTTTTGTAGAAGGAAGTAACATTGAAATCCCCAAAGGGGGCAAGGGACCACACCAACTTGTCCCTCCCTTGGATAGGGATGAAGGTGTTGAAGAGCAGTGACGAGAGAGAGAGAAATTGAAGAGATTCGTCCTCAGAAAGGTTCCTTCTAAAAGAGAGGTTCCAACATCTCCTACCACATTCAAGTTTGAACTCGTGATCAATTGTTGCTTCTCTATTCCTCGCAACAGAGAACAGTATGGGATGGGAATCCTTTAAGGGGGCATCCCCTAACCATAAATCTGTCCAAAACCTCACTCTAGTTCCCTCTCTAGGACAGAATCTTAAGTGTGTCCTGAAAGAATAAAGGGAAGTCGTAAGACACCTCCACACCCCTGAAGCATTGAACCAAGATCTGTTGTCTAGGATCCACGAAGGGGCCGGGACATGGTACTTATTCCGAAGAACTTGTACCCATAGAGAATCAGATTGGGTGGCCAACGCCACCACCATTTCCCTAAAAGGGCTATGTTGTGTTTTCTCAAGTTTCTGATTCCCAACCCCCCCGGTGTTTCTGCGCCCCCCTTGATTCCCAACTTGCACTCCACTTAACCTAATAGAGTATCATAATCATGGGGGGACATTACATCATCGTATGTCATGGTGTGTTCCCCTTATCCTCTTACCACCAATCACAACTCCTTATTTTGAAAATCCAAAGGTCCTCAAATCACCAAATTACAAGATTAATAATTTTACGAAAAATATGAAAACCCTACATATACACATGTATAAACACATTCCACCACATGTGTCCCACACATGTGCCACAAAGCACTACACATATCAAGATTATATGTAACAACCAAACAAGGTCTTCACGTCAAGGATAGGCCTATCACCTCATGCCAAGAGGGCAATCGTGACAGTCTTGAGCTTTGCACGTATGCACACATTGGCCATTTCTGGCACACGCCACACATGTGGGCGTTCTCACGTAGAATTAACATTCAACACATTTAATTAAACATTTTTCTTCACTATAATTTTTTTAAAAATTATCTAAAATCATGATAAATCAATTTTAATCATTTTTCATTAAAATATCATAGTCTTGCTCTTCTTATAAATCCAGATGGCAAATTAGGATCCCACAAGAGGTTGGGCTACATGCTACTCCAGTGGGCTAGACCTGCAAGCCCAATCCAATTTCTCGGACCACCCCTATAAGTCACAGACTTAAGTCAGGATATGAGTGAACCTGTCAAAGCTAACCAATAGGTGGTTGGTCTCCAGGGTGTTCAGTGGATTACATAATCCTCCTAAGGACGTGAACTCTTGCGGATGCAGGGGTCCTCTCTCAGCACGTGCACAATTCTGATAGGTGGATCTTACCTTATTAGAACGGCTTCCCAAAATGTGACTGTTTGTGCACACGCTGTGAGCAACTAAGAGCCCAACTTAGCTCACATAGGGTTTATACACAAAATATCTCAAACAATCCAGCATCCACTGATCTCCAAGCCCTGGCTCACGACATGAGACAAACACAAACATACCAACCTTGACTAGAGGAAACCCTCAATCCTCTCGGTTCACAATATGGTCCAAGAACTTTGCCTCATTCAATTGGGGTTATTCAGGTTATCCAAATCCTTGTATGCAAAGATTTTGGTAGCGACTATGTTCTCGGTCACTACCACTGTGACTCTGAACAGTGCTGGTATTGCACAAAAAAGACTTGAAAGGCCATAATTCCAATAGTTTCGAAGTGCATGGGGGAGATTGGCATTGACTGGTTCTCCAAGTTGCTCACACTGCCGACCATGAGGAACTCGATCACTATCCCAACCATGAGGCTCCCGATACAGAGTGTTGGCATGGAACGAGTTCTCGAAAATAGCGTCCAACTCACTACTGCATCATGGTGGGTCAGGGCTAGATTTTGCGCCAAGCACAAGTTCAGCTCCTGTACTTGCCTTCTCAAAATTTTGTTCTCTATCTCTCAGAGAGCTCAGCGGTTTCATTCTTGTCGGATGGATTGAGTTCCGATACCCAGCCATAGACCTTGTCCACAAGCCATGATGCCTATCGGAAAACACCACGACCCACAAGAATCAACTATGCTTTGATACCATCTGACGCAATATAAAATTACCGGTGAATAACACCCAGCCGCATTTTAGAGAGAAATAAAAATCGAGAAGAAAATCGCAAGCGAAAGGAACAAACACATAGAACCAAGTCATCCGCTACGAGCCCATAAGCAAAGAGGGAAGAAAATACCATAAAGGGCCACTCTCTCTCTCTCTCTCTACACGATCTGTAAAGATCAATAATTTTTTATTCACCAAATAATCATCTCTTTACAATGAGCTCTTCCCTTTTTAAAGACCATTTTCCAACTTTCCTTACCGACTAGTCACATTAATGTTTTTCTAAAAGATGAGCTTACTATTAAAGCAAACTCTATCTTCACCCCTTATAAAAGCGCTCTTTATCTTCTATTGATGCAAGCTTCCAAAAATGTATTCCTCCTTCCTTAATAGATGGCTGTCAATCCCATTCCCTTATCGAAGATAACAATTGATTTAAAATAGTAAACAAACTGTACGTCTAAAAATACTAAAGATAACCTTCCTTTCCTATAACCATTACTCTCCTAACCTTATCAAAAAAAAAAAAAACTGTTACTCTCCTATCCAAAAGAGCTAAAAACCCACAGACTCTTTTACTATAAGACATATCATACCTTCCTAAAAAAAACTTATAAATAAAGAAAGAAAAATGGACCTAAAGAAAGACTTATCTTTCCTAAAGAAAATGGACTCTTATTATCATAAAACTTGCCAAAAAAAATAAACAGAATCAATCCAAGAAGACGGACTTTATCTACTAAATTAAAAACCTAGACTAAATTTATTTCAAACAATTAACCCTAAATAAATAAATAAAATAAGGGTCTACCCACATCTCTAAAAACTAAAAACATAAAAAATAAAATAAGAATTTGAATCAACCCGTTTTTTATCTGCATCAAACATGTTTAGAATAGTTGTGGAGTTCATTAAGAACCTTTTATACCAATGTTATTAGGATTGGATCGGCCACCGGTGGAGGTCTAGTCTAGTGAAAACCAACTTACAACAGTTTTACCATAATTGAGGAAAAAACACAAGAAAAAGAAAAATAGGAACATTGGTTTAAAAATCTTAAATATATTACAAATAATGCCCCACATTCTTCAGTCGTTTTAATAGGTAGTTGACTATCTAACCAACAAAAACCGGTCAAATATTGTGTTTTAAACCAAAAGCAATTTTCGTAAGGACCAGAATGGACCAAGGTATCAGTTGACAGTCTGAATAGTTGCTCTAGTCCAATCTTGATAACTATGTTTTATACAAGTAAGATGGTTGCTCATCCTACCATGGCAGATCTATGATGATTGGAAGTCTCTCAATCGCCTCCTGGATATCTAAGATGTTTAAACTAGTTAGTCTGGGAACAACATGCCCCCGCAGTGTAGTTTTCTATATTTTCTTGTGATTTACACAAACTTCCCATGTGTTCTATTTTGTCGTAATGCCAATATGATATATTTACTCAAATTGAAGAAGACTGAATCACATCCACCTCTTTACAAGTATTAAACGTTCAAAACACTAAGCCTCTATATCATAACAAGTTTATACAAATTAGAATTTAATCCTAATCTACAGGGATGGAAAGAAAAAACATAAGAGCTATCCTTCAAAAGTCTCATTGTTGTTTGTGGAAATTGTTGTAAGTAAACTCGCAGTTAATTCTCTCATATTAACCTAAAATAACTTTAATGGAAGGAATAAGTAGCACAATATAAGTTTTTCTCTTTTTTCTGGATTAATCAATATTACAAAGTATATCATGAGAAACTCAAAAGCAGCTTTGGGGCGGCCTACTTTGAACAAAGAGAGATATAGCGAAACAAAAATACGAGCAAGAAAAATATATACAGCTCAAGAAAAAAAAAAGTGCGACAAATATGAGCCACTGATTCCATCAGGGAGATGTGTATTCTATGACACCGACTCATCTCACATTCTTACACAGCTAAACTAGGACAATTCAAATTCAACTTAAAGTAGAAAGATAGCATATGAGGCAACATAGATTAAGATGAATTTCATCCCATGTGAAACTGTGTTATTCCAATAATTAAGAAAGAAGACAAGGAGCAAAGGGGGCTACACATAAAGTACTATTAAATGTTTAAGGAAAAGATAAAAACATCAAAGTTTTTACACAAAAAGGGCATTGACGAACCTTTCCAGCAAATGGATCAAGTAGATCAAAGCGCTTGCACAAAATTGGTGCAGGTCTCCACTGATACTCTTCCCGTTTAGGACATGATCTGTTTCCTGTTCTCTCATCTTGATTAGGTTTATGCCGCTGCTAATACACAAGGGGAAATTTTCCACGGCTTAAAACTGTAAACTGCATCACAAGGGAACTGAAACAATGACAAACTTTCAGCATACATACCTGGATGTCCAATTTTTCTATACCACCAGAGGTGAAACGTGTTCCAGCATTAAATGAAGAATCTGTTAACTGATCAGCTGTCACTTTCTTCAATCCACCTTTTTCAATGGTCTCAGCTGCAGCCTCAAAGTCCAGTCTCTCCTGAGCACGATGCAATTCAGACATACCACCAGAATTAGTAGACCGAAGGCCACCGTGATACTTGTCCTTGAGGAATTGCTCGAATCTCTCTTGCTTGGCAGGATCATTCTTAAATGGCTTTTCAGTTTGAGCAACTTCAAGCTAGGATGTGAATATCAATCAGAACAAGCATTAGTTTTATATAAATGATAGTACAAGGGAAACCAATAAATGAATAACATAAAACTGTATGCTATTTATCTAGAAAACAGGGCCATCACTGGAAATACACGAGACCAGAGACAATAGAATGAAACTAAATTGAAATGCTAGCATACCAAAGATGCAGGTTTGGTGAATGTATCTGACAATATAGACTGAATACGAACTACATCAGCAGCAGGGACAGACACATTTGAAGAGTCAGACCCTCTCTCCAAAGGCCTTTCACCAAGAAGTCTTCCCCGACTTTCTGCTGACATCTTTTGGGTGGTTGTTGATTTTTTCTGTAGGGGCAACTTCAATTGATCAGAATGTTTTCTTTGTTCTTCCCATAATCTCCTTCTGTAATATTCTTCGCTGTCTCCCCCACATAGGAAAGAGAATAATGGGTTTCCTTCGTTCCTTTCTCTGGAGAGATATTCAAATGCTCTGCCACATCGTGCAACAAGAGTGGCCATGCCATCAATCATTCTTTTCAATTCGTTGTCTTCAGGTGGAGGAACCTCTAGAGGGGGTGCATCACTTATGTTAAGGTCTCCTTCCAATTGCACGGGAAACTTGTGATGTGGTTCAAAATCACTGGGAACAACAGGTGGCAGGAATCTGAAAATAGTTTACAGATGTTAGATTAAATAAGCATCAGAGACGTAGATTAAAGACCAAATTGCTTCATGAACATAATTGGAGACCAGGAAATTATATTTTGAGCAATCCAAAGAGTTCACAACATTCACAAAAAGAAGCTGAAGTGTTGCAAATAAAATGTAAATACAACTCACAGTTAAATGGAATGGACTTCAAGAAGAACATTACAATCAGTGAATACCTTTCTGGTTGAAAGTTTGTGACTGATGCAAGACGGAATCCAGGAATGGTAACATCTTTCTTGTTCACAGATTGCTTCTTTTCCTTGGTGGACTTCATTGGCTCTTCAACTTCTATAGGAGTTTCTTCAAAATCAAATCCTGGAATCATAGTCATATAAGCTCATGAGGGGCTGGCAGTGGAGCAAAACCAATTGCTAAAACAATAGATGCACATCAATAAATACCCAAAGTAGGATCATTATACTCCATTTGATCACTTACAATCACTAGAGTACAATAAATAGGGTAAGTGAACATCAGACAATGGAAAAAGATTAGATAAGGTTGACACCAAAAATATAGAATTGAGATGCACCTCTAAAATCCTTTGAAAAAGGTTGTTTTGATGTTAGACAAGCATCTAATTGATCATCTCGACATCGAGATGGATAGATATGGAGAAAAAAGAGATTCAAGTCCAAAAAATCATAAATCTTGCAACACATTATCTGGACCGTCCAGTTTCAAAATAATCATGCGTTTATAGATCTGCTTAATTTAAACCATTTATGGAGTTTAAAATTTTATAATTTGAGATAAAAATAGATTCTCACACCATCCTAAGAATTTTTTACATCAAAATTGCATCTCATGACAAAGTCTGGACGTGAACCTTACTTTGATAGTTTGAGGTTGCAACCTTATGCAAACCACACCCTTAGATAATGGCCCGTTGGAGAATTATTACTGGATACATTTACATAACCATTCAGAGTTCCTAGTATTTTAATATTTAGTTGCAAAACTAAAAGGTTCAACCTCTAACTTCCAGTTCAAAAAGATATATAATCATTGCATTGCAATACAAACCATGATGATAGTATTTTTCTCCACAAACTTGTTTATGTTCAATTTGAAAAGTTCAATGATAGACTTACTCCACAAATAAAGCACCCAAGCTTCAAAAAGATATCAACATAACAAACCAATTATGTTCCATTCAACACCATATAACCACCATAAATAATACAGATATCAAAACTAACAACCACCACATAAGTCTATGATAAAGTTGCCATTCCAACCATCATGGAGTGGCATTGCGTCCTAGGCAGTGCTTCAATGCATCCTGGCTGAGGGCAAAAATAGATCCTCGACCAGGGCATTTTTGACAACCCTCCCCCCCCTCCCCCCTCCCCCACCAACCTAAAAAAATCAAATAACTCCATGTGTGTTTTAGAGAATTAACAACTCTAAAAATCTAGGATTTCTAGATTTCTATCAAGATTAATAAAAAGTTTCAACATTTTCAATTACCTACGAAATCAAAAGATATACTTCTTGATACTTTTTGGAGATTGGATTGGGCACATATGAGAACTTTAGCAACCAAAGATTTCTGAAAAGGTTAATGCATTATAATATTTTCATTAGAGTTAGGAATTTCTTTGTATGTGTCATAATTTTGATATTCTTTTATTTTTTTGTTTTTCTTTTGTGATATTTTTACATGCTTGTAGTTGAAATATTTTGTGAACATTTACTGGTTTAGGCCTATATCGAATTTCATTTTGAAAAGCTAAGTGCGTTACAATATTTGAATTAGAGTTTGATTTCTTTAATTTTTTGATATATTGTATTATGATTTGATAGAGCAGAATAGAGAACCAGGATTCATGTGGTTGACCCCAATTAATTGCGAAAACGCTAAAATGATGATGATGATGATGATTGTGTTATGATTTAATTTTATTTTATTTTGTGTTTTTCTTTTGTGATATTTTTGCATGTTTGTAATTGCAATATTTTCTGAATGTTTACCAGTTTGGGCTTATATTTTATGCATAGTTTGAATTAAATTGATATTTTGTGAATATTTGGATTGGAAAACCAAAATTTAAGGATATTATGTTACACAATATTATGGGATTGTTTTTTAAGATTGATATTATGTGATTTTTGTTAGATTGGAAAGCTAAATATTATTTTTATATGTCACTTGGCACACACACATTACGAAGTTCACTTTTTTATTGGTTTCCAGTTTCCTAATATTTTTTGTGGTCTTTTCTAGTTTGTTTTATTTAATTCATAGACTTCATTTAAAACTTGAATTTTGTTTTCTTGATTCTCTTTCTTAGTACTTTTATCTATGTATTTTTCAGCTTTGTTGATTAGGCGATCCGTTGTATTACTACAGTTGTGAGCTGTGTTGTAAGTCATGAGTGGTGACAATGTCTTCAATTGGATCAAGTAGGCAAAGTGATTTGGGTCGGAAGTACAAGATTAAATAGTTGAAAGCAATGGTTTAAAAAAAGGATCGGTGCCCTGGATCGGGCACCTCAAAATTCCATCTGGATCAGTGAATCGGCGCTTCAGAGCGGGAATCGGCAATTTTTGTATAAAAAAATCACTATAAATCTCTAAAAATAATGTTATTTTAATTTGTTAAAGAATTTAGGAGTGGTGCATTATGCATTTTCATTACGTTGTAAAAATAGGTGATTATTTAGGCGTTTTTCTATCTGGATCTTTGTATAATTAAAACAAATAAATTAATAAATAAAATATAAGACTTAGTTATCATTGTAATTAGTATAATTATTAATTACAATATTATAATAAATGTGATTCAAAAAACAAGGGTATGACCCTCACAAATAAAGAAATCTAATATATAATAATTAGTGTGGATAGAAATATAGAATTTAGAAATACAAATTTAAACTATTTCTTTTTAATATCCAATAGACTAGAATTGGTATTATTATTTTTATTTATTCTATGAGCTAGTACTAATTTTTTAATCCTAATTAACTATTTAATTAATTATTATTCATATAATGAAATAATCCAATGATATAATAGCTTAATAGAGTTTTTATGTTTTTTTGTAAGTAAATTTAAAATTTTTTGGTAAAAGATAGGGGTGATGGGCACCCAATTATTATTTTTAATAATTTTTTGCTTTTTTATCGTCAAATTTATTTGCCACAATTGGACAAACAACTTTTTTATTCATGATGGACATACACCGTCGTGCGTGCACCATCGCAGATATACCATCTCACTACAATTTATTACAAGCTAACAATATTTGCCAGCTTGCTTATTCATGACGGGCTACAGAAATGTCCCACATCGAAGCGATGTGGGAAGACATAGTGTAATAAAAGATACCCACAATCAAAGGTAAGCAAATGTTATCTGGGCCATGAATGCTGAAGGTGAAGTGGCAACGCCACCTGGCATGAAAGACAGCGGTGAATGGGGTTAGGGCTACTTTTTTGGTAGCAGCGCCACGTGGCATGCAGGATGGCGGCAGATATGTAAAAGCCTATGTAAACAGATAGCTGGATTTAAAAAAAATAAAAGTTCGAGTCGCCCGATTTTACCGATACTGGATTTGGAGCGATATCACCGATATCCGATCCGGATCGCCCGATTCTAAATCGGATCGGTGATTTTTAAAACACTGGTTGAAAGCAATCAGGGGCAAATCAATCAAAGAAAAGAAGAGGAGAAAGACAAAAGGAAATTACTTGATAGTAATAAGAGAGGGAAAGAGGAGCAAGAAGAGAGAGAGAAAGTGGCATGAGGAAGAGAGAGAGAGAGAGAGAGAGACAGAGAGACCGCAAGAGAGAAGTGAGGAGAATAGAAATAGAGGACATAGGATAGAAGGCCTTTATCCAAGGTGACATCATCATGGGAGCCAGAGAGACTACTAATTGAAGGGCAATGGATGAAAGATCTCCATTCTGATAATAACAGCTCACTAAATAGATTCAAGACCTAGCGAACACACTCCCCTAGGAATGTCACTAAATGTATTTCATGGTATGACTAAAGGGAGTCCATGTCCGAAGGCAAAAAAAAAAGTTGATGGATCAACCCTACGTGTTACACGAGACCATTGGGTGAAAAAGAGTGCTACTGGTGCTACGCAAAATAGTTAAATTGGTAATAAATACAAGTTTTAAGTAAAAAGTTTGACTTGCTAATTTCTATAGAGGGTATCATCTTTGAAGGTAGTTAAATTGTCAGCTCCAAAGAGGTCGTGAAGGATCTTCAGAACCAATGAAATATGGGGAAGCATTAGAATTACAGATGTTGTCCACATACCAAGAGTAATAGGCTGGCTAACATGGTAGATGGGGTTAAAGAAACATTAACAGGCTCATCTAGGTGTAAACAGGAGTTACGAGGTTTAAAGTTAATACATTTTTTCTCCAATACAATTAACTTAAAAGAAGCAACTTGAAATTCCATTAACTTGTAGTTTATGAATATCAACTAACATAAAATGGACAATTTCTAAGACAGCACAGTCGTTTCTTGTCACTGCAAGAAATTTATTCTGGTTTCTTTTCAGAGAAGCAATCACAAGAGGCAATTTATTGAAAAAAATGCTTACCAGAGGCATATATATCCTCATCTTCTACATCCAGCTCCTCAAGTGCTCCAATTCCAATACCAGGGGCAATTTTTCTACCTGGAGAAAAAGAAGAAAATGATTCAGTACCTAACAAGTCATCCTAAAGCATGCATAAAGGATATCCCATTTCCACCTACAATCTAGTATTACAACCAATCCGTCTCATGAACCTTACTTCTGGAACCAAAAATATTCTCAGTTACACCAGCTCCTTTACTTCTCATTACATTAGTAGTGTCTCGTCCACGCAGTCTTTTACTTTCTGTATAAAATATGTGCCCAGTTAGCAAATATAGACAAACATATATCCATCGGAAACTCAACAAGAGCAATCAGGGGGAGGTTATCCCCCATAGTAGATTGAAAATTTATTGCTCATAAGTGTTAACAATGTAATGGGAATGGGAAAAGGATCAGCTGCCAGAATTTGTCTCAAGCTATAAATAAAAGAGCACAAACAAATTTACAAACATCAATACTTATTCTACACTTGCAGCACAATATCCTGACCTCTAAATTCCGGCGCATGTTTGTAAGGATCATAACCCAGTCCGTGGATATCACGCTTTGGATGGCGAACAAATTCCTGCATCGTGGAAACATTCACAGATATCATAAAGGAACAATACAGAAATATAACACTCACAGGCATATGAAAAATACAGTAAGGGTTCCAATGTTGCTTGAAGTTGTATGCCGTAAATATTTAAAGATGCAAATAGTACAATGTCCAAAGAAATAGGTATACAGGAGCACATGGCATATTTGTGGTTTAAACCAAATCCTCGACAGTAGCTTACATTTCTGATGAGTCTGTATCCATGAAGGTATTTCAGGCTGCCTTTGTCCCGATCGTTACCAATCATTTAATTTCCATGACAATAGTTCAGCAAACTGCCTTGTCACAATTTTTCTTGCTCTCAGTTACAATTAAGAAGTTGAGGTATTAAAAACCCAACTTAGTGCATATCCAGATAAATTCATTGTAACAGGAGATGAAGAACTAAGGTTTTGCAATCAACACCATAGACTTACACAAGTGCTACCTTCAGATAGAAGCTGGCAAATTTATTATACTGTGAAAGTAGAAGCACTCATATGTGAAGGTCACGATCATTGTGATTGTTTTTCTGTGTCGAAAGCTAACCATCAATTGATAAGGATATGAAGGTCATGTTACCGCCACACAATAGAAGCATCAATAACGTACAAGGGAAAGGCAAAAGAAAATGGACTTCCAGATTACCAATGCAGAAGGCTTGGACTTGGATGCAGCACATAGTTGTCGGAATCAGAAGCAGAAGTCAGATCAGGATCAAGAGTGGGGGATCGTTAAATGCTAGAAGATCCTTGTGGTTCGGAGCACCATCCATACAATGTACAAGCCAGGGGGCTAGACCCCTAATGTTAGGGATTGAGATTCTAACCTCTTAAGGATCTGGATTCCGACCTTTTGGGATTTTGATCCTAACCTTTTAGGGATCTCGCTCCAAACTTGAAGAGCATTATTACCCGAGGAATAGATACACTCTTTAAAGTAGGGATATCTTTATTTATGGCCAGCAAGCAATGCAAGTCTATTGAAAGTACAGTTATGTTGCTAGCTGGCTCTAAAATTTAAAAAATCATTAGTTTAGTCGTTATCTTGTTCTTTACTAACAGTACAAATTGGGGTCCCAAATAGTGGGGATCAAGATCCCAAACTTTAAAAAACGATATCCCGTGAAAATCCCTTTCCTAGCACGCCGAACCAAGATTCCGGAATGGGATCGCCAACTATGTTGGGAGATCCCAGCAACTATGATGCAACAAAACATATCCCATCATTATAATAAAAGCAAAAGAGAACTGTTAAGTAGGCCTTATATGCCAGCTTGTTTTTTCACCCAACAGCATTTCGAGGCCCTGAGTTCCTCTGGGAACCCATACTGACTACCGACTTCTGAATCGTTTGACTGCATTTGTAAGCCCAAGTAGTGGCCACAGAATCGCAATAAACTAAGAATTGGATGCCATGACACACATATCCCCAAAAAAGGGTGCTGTCTCCACATATGTAAAAGAAACAAAATATGAATTGTGTTCATGCCCTTAGCCATATCTGTGCATCAGAGATTGCAACATGGTCCCTCAACACTAGATGCATGCACAAGCATTTCCAACTTAAGCCCAAGAGCTACCTTATTACCAAACACCTAGCTGTTTTGGGGGGAATAAGTGAATTGTATTTATAGTGAGCAATATACAAGCATTCATGCACAAAATTGTTCCCCAAAAGGGAAGTCAAAATCCCAAGCAAAACCCCAAAAAACCAAAATAAAGCTTTACAAAGCTCAGCTTTTCACATATTGTCCATGGAAAAAACGAAGACGCGGCCAGGAAGTATGCGACCTGATGGTGAAGGTACTGCAGGCCACTATTGGCAAGGCATCAGCTTCGGAATTCAACTGACACTAGGAATTGTTAAACATAAGAAGGTTGTCGGAGAGAGCATCCACTTGGTCGGAGGCCAAGTACCAAGGACATGAAGCCTCTCTGGCAGCCCAAAGAATAACATATTAACAATCACCTGCAACCTGCAGTGAGTGACCCTAACTGCAATTGTGGAATTTCAAGCCCTAAAGGAGGGACCTAGCCTTGGGCATAGTGGAATCCATGTTTCCAATGAACCCTGAAAAAGAGAGACGCAAAACACTTGCACTATTTCTAAACAAACCTCTCACTCCCAATCTACCTGGTCAGCCAAGGGAGCAACCATCAAAATTCATTTAAGGACACCGGAAGGGGAAGCCTACCAAGTACTAGACCTAGTAATAAGGATTGGTCTAAAAATACTTGGAAAAAAAAAAACAATTCTGGGTGAAATCAAAGTAGAAGAAACCAGGAAATCTCTTATGTGACGAACCCAAAACACCATCATGTAATCAATAATAATATTATTTATTAATTAATTAATTTGATTAATAAATAATCAATTTTTATTCCCATTTTCTAGACATTTTAATGTTTTTTGGGATTATTACTTTTCAAAATTGTAATAATTTTTCATTGATTTTTATTTATTAATTAAACATAGTATTGCAAAATGAGTTCCCAACACACGGAGTTTCTAGCATGTGACAATCCCATGCACCCACACCTGCTACCATTACCGACAACTATGATCTGAATTTTGCTTGTCAATTCAGTACAAAATCCATGTTGACATTTATAAATAGATAATACTACAAGTTATACATAATATTATTATGCCTAGCTAATACTGTATAATACTAACTGCTTAAGAGGCATGGATAATACTGAATGCTCGATACGCCTTTTCATATTGAGAGAACATTTTATGGCTTTCGATCTGAATAGCATACCTATCTAAGAGTGAGAGAGTTCTATTATACTGCATTAAAGAGGGGTTCAAGAGGGCTATAAATGTCCAGTAAATTTTATACAGAAATGACCTTTTTAGGAATTCCCGTTTAATAATTAATGGCTAAAGATTCTGTCAATTGGAGTGACATCTTAACAAATTTTACCTTGCATGTGTTCAAAATCACCAATAAACTTCACAAAACTATGATAAATTCTTTTTTCCTCATGGATAAATACAGTAAATGTAAATAAAACATTCCTTTTAGCGATGAGACCGAAAAAGAATGGAAAATTGCATTCCCATTTCAAAAATTTTCCATTGTTCTATTATGAAAGCAAGCTCGAGATGATTATCAGAAGAGAACATTGATGCCTAATGCATACAAATCCAAAGGTTTCACACATCATGATGCCCACTTGAATCCGCCCAGATTTTAAAAAGATGCACAATAAGAAATCTAGTTTCGGTGCTAGATCATGTCTTTTTTTTTGCTTCTTTTGAGAGTATTCACTTGTATTGCATAAATTTAAAAGGTACAAAAATGGGGCATCCCTTTAATGAGCCCCCTAAGCAACCCCTAAAAGGGGATCAAAAGTATGTACAGCTTAAGAAACAAAGCAGGGAGAAAAAACAGAAAGGCTTGAGAGCAAAAATTTTGTAAGGCTCCCTCCTTCACCAGTGTGTCCGCTCCAGAGTTGGCTTTCCCTATAGATGTGTCCACGAGATTCTCAGGCCCCCACCAATATAACAGTTTTCATCGAAGATATGATCCAGCCGCCATGGGCATGGAGTAGCTCTAGAAGCCCAATCAATGGTGTTTATGGAATCTCCTTCCAAAAGTAATTCGGAATACCATCAAGGGTTAAACTTGCAAAGGCCCTCCAATAGCGCAAGGGTCTCAGTAAGAGTGAAGTCCACTAGACCAATGGGAAGGGAAAAGGACAGGAGCTTACTACTTTCATGAGTTCTAACGAGTACTCCAATTCCTGCGGGCCAGGGGTTGCCAAGGGAGCAACCATCAAAATTGAGCTTGACCGAGCCAAGTTCCAGCAGTCTCTAGAGAGAAGCCTGAGCAATTCTTGGGGGGGAGGGACAACAAGGATTCCAAGTTGCTGAAAAGGTCAAAATGAGTATAATCTTTGAAGAGGTTGTGGTTTCTGGCCTAGACAAAGACGATTTTTAACCTTGTCGATCAAGGATGAAATTACAGACTGCTCACCCTTGAAGATTTGATTGTTCCTTTCTATTCACAACACCCAAATTATCGCAGCCACATAGGCTTTCCAAAGAGATCTACCCGCCTTAGGCCAGGGAGTAGAGAGGGTTGCCTGGTAAAGTTCTGGAATAGATCTAGGAGTGACTGATGACCAATGGAAGAGTTGTAGTATATGTGTCCAAAGTGCTCTGGCCAGATTACAGTGGAGGAATAGATGTGCATTGGACTCTTCAGCCTCCAGGAACATGACACATCTATTAGGGCCAGGTAAGCCCCTCCTTTGAAGCTGATCTACAGTTACCACCCATTCATGGAGAGCAATCGAGCAGAAGACCTGGATCCTCGGGGGAATGAGAGAGAACCAAGCTTTAGACGCGATAGAAGAGGGTGTGGAAGCAAAGTCAGAATCATCAATTGAAAAGGACCGGCAGAAAGAAATGACCGAGAACTGTCCTGAGGTTGTCAATGTCCAAATAACTGTCTTTGCCACTGGGAGGGAGAAACACAGAGTGCATTAGTTCTGACAAGGCTGCGAATTGTGCTAACTCGTGGTCATTAATATTCCTCCTGAGAAATGGAGATTAAGATCTAGACGCCCCTGGGCTGCTGAAATTTCCAGCCACTATGGATTGGCCATCACCAGCTATAACGAAAAGGAGAGGAAACTAGTCCCTGATTGGGGTATGGCCAATCCAAGTGTTCATCCAGAATTTGACCCCATTCCCTTCCCTCGGGTGGAAATGGACATGTTCGAGGCATTTAATTTATTTCTGCAGTGAATGACAGACCACCAGAAACCCGAGATATTGCCTGTGGATCTGCATTGAGGGAACCAACTACCATTACTTCAGTAGTATTTATGGCTGATAACCTCCCTCCATAGTGTTGGGGTTGAGCGGGTATCTCCACCACCATTTCACCAGGAGTGCTGCATAGTGGGTACTTAGATTGCGAATGCCCAAACCCCCTTTAGCTTTGGGAATGCACAGTTTGGGCCAAGAGA